TGGCGCTTCCTTCCCCAGCCCTACAAGGAGTTTCCTTCTCTGTCACCAGCCCATACATGGCGCTTCCTTCCCGGCGCAGCTGGCAGGCTGCCCGCTGGCTTGAGCACGGCCCCCGCGAGCAGCCCGCGGCGCCGTGACCCTGCCAAGGAGGGGATCGGCGGACAGGCCGGCCTCCGGAGCCCCTCGGGACAGCGCCGCCTTCCACCCCGTAAGGTCAGAGGCGCCCGTCGTCGCCATCCATTTCATCTGCCCCACTTTTCTCCCCCTCCCGAGCACGCAGCACCCCATCGCTGGACATCTTTTAGCCGCTAACAACTCCTAAACCACGCCACCCTCCGCCCTGCCCCCATTTCGCTTGGCGATTTGGTCTTTTAGGAGCATCTGGCTGCTTCTTGCTGCTCCCCGCCTTTACTTCCTCACAGGCCTGTGGTAGAACGAGTGCTCCTAGTTTTCCCTAAGGTGGTTCAAACCAGTGACCCGAGGGAAACCTTTCCCATCCTTCCCATCCTCGGCAGACGATGCACCTAGCTGCTCTGCGCACTTCGGTTTGTCCAGACTGCAGACTTGGTCTTGCTCGTTGCATTCCTAGTTCACCTCAAATGCGTGAAAGTAAAGCAGGGAAGGACCCTCTTATCAGGCCCCTTAGGTTTCCTGTGGGATGGAGATTCAGGAGCCCCAGAACCCTACAAGAGTGATCCAGTTTTGTAAGGGAAGTGGTGGGGTGGGGGAGTAGCGACGGCTAGGATAGGGGTACAGCTACAGTGAGCAACAGTACCCACGAGGTGCCCCCTCACTCCGAGTGGCCTCTCTTGCTCTGCCTGACAGCTTTTAATCCACTGTTGCCAGAACCGACAAGCTCCTACAGGCCCTGCTACAGCAGCTGCAGGGACTAAAACCTGGGCCAGACACTCGGGTACTGAGGCGATCTGCCCTAAAAAGAAAAAAACAGGTCAGAGAGAGGGACAGGCACCAAGTCACTGAAGTGCAGACTTAATGCTGGGTGGAAACAAGCAAGCTTCCCTGTTGCCCCGTATCCATCTTGAGAGCCTTGCCGCCAGAGAAGGGGTTTCTAGTCCAGGCAGCCTTTGGGCTCTTGTTGTGTGTGCTCATTTTTACATTACATTTTTTTAAATTTATTTGTGTGTGTGCGCGCGCGCCACAGTATGTATGTGGCAGTCAGAGGACAGTATGTAGAAGTCTCATCTACCGTGTGTGTCCCAGGACTCAAGCTCTGGTTCTCGTGCTGGGCAGCGAATGCTCTCTGCAGGACATCTTTCCGTCAGTCTGTCTTTCTCTTCCTCCTTCCAGACTTCTCTTTTCTGGTTTCGATCTAGAGTAAACTGACTTACAGGCTTCCAGCCCCCCTCCCCCCCAGCTACCAAACCCCCATGCCTTATGGCTACAGCTAAGGCTTTTCAGTTGAGTTTTGTGTCGCCGTGAGTGCCTGTGAATACGGTGTGTGGACAGGCTCTCAAAGCGCCAGGTGCTGCCCTGAGCGTTGTCCTCAGCATGGCTACCGCCTCTTGTAGGAGATCCTGAAGACCAGGCTTCCTGCGGTTCTTCCCGCCGTCTCCCGCTTCCTTTCGCCCTCTGCTGGCCGATACCTCCCGGTCGAGGGCAATCCAGGCTGTGGAGGCGGTGACTGCTCCTGGTGAGGCTGGGAGATTCCGGGCTGGAAACCAGAGAGCTATTTATAACAGCCTGGTGGAGGAATGGTGTCGAAGGTGTTGAACTCCACGAGGATCCGCGGGAACCCCATGCTTCTGCTTGGCAGGCCTTCTCTTTCTCGGTGACGTGGCTGCGAGTCTCAGAAAACCCTACGAACTGGCAGGGGTCTTGAGTCTCCTGAAAGCTCTGATGCCAGCTTTTTCTGTTTCTTTCGAGGGTTGGATATTTATTTGATCTGGGTTGAGAAGGTGAACCTTTTTGAAGAAATAAAAAACATGTGACACGCAGTGTAGTCTCTTGGGATTTTCACGAGTTTGTTCTTGAGACAGGATCTCTCTCTCTCTCTCTCTCTCTCTCTCTCTCTCTCTCTCTCTCAGTCCATAGAACTGGCTGTCCAGGAACTCACTATGTCGACCAGCCGAGCCTCTTGAACCCCCAGAGATCCAGCTGCCTTAGCCTCCCAAATGCTGAGATTAAAGGTATGTGCCACGACATGCATTTTTCTTAACCAAATCTGCAGAGGAGAAAAAACAAAACAAACAAACAAAACTGCCCACTGCTTAAAATACCAAGCTGGACTACCTCAGCTGGACTGGATGCCTTTTTCTTTCTTTTTGAAGCAATGCTGGAGTTTATTAGGATATTTTAGAGTTTTAAAATTACATTTGTTTTGTGTGTGTCTGTGTTGAGGGGGGCAGGAGATCTGACTGTACACATATAGATTCCCTCTTGGGAGTTCAACCTTCTACCATGTGGGTTCCAGGGGTTAAATTAGGTCATCAAGCTTGGTGGTTAGTGCATTTAACCCATTTAGCCATGTCCTTAGTTGGAAATTCTTAATATATATATATATATATATATATATAATTTTTTAAATGTGTATGCATGGCCTGCATGTATGTATGCACACCCTGTGTGTGCCTGGTGTCTCTGGAACTGGCATTATGGACAATTGTAAGTCACCATGTGGGTACAAGGGAACCGAATTCTGGTTAAAAGTGCAGTAAGTGCTTTTTAACTGCTGAGCCCCTAATGCAGGTTTTAAAGAACATTTTTTTAAAATTATGTGTATATGTGTGTCTATGTGTGGGTGTGGGAACATTTGAATGCAGGTCCTGCGGAGTCCAGAGAGACTGTCGGGTCCCCTGGAGCCTGAGTGTTCTGGGAACTGAACCTGGATCCTCTGCTAGGGCAGCGTGCTCTTTAACTGCCACGCCTCCCTCTGACCTTTATCATAGATTTGCAATCACTAGGGCTGGGCGAGAGAAGGGTCTTGGGAAGAAAGTCCGGGTGCTGCCTTTGTCCCCTTGTCCCATAGACTCCACTTCCCACTGCTTTCTGCCTGTCATTTGTCCGGGTTTTGCTTGCTCTTAATAACATGTTTGCAAGTTGACTGCTATAGTCCCACTACTGTCTGATGAATAAATTGAACCGAGGGTTGGGGTTGCCAGCACTGTGTGTGGAGTGACGTTTGATGCATACTTCATCACCATGCTGTTTTATGGTTTGGAAAGCAGTTTGGGGCATTTGGATCTTTCCCCAGAGCTGTGATAACTTCTGGCATCTGACTTCAGAGTACTGTTCAGCCCTGACAGAACACAACAAAAGAGAGGACAGCCTTGGCTAGCTGGGAATTCTGCATTGTAGACCAGGCTGCTTTAAACTTGGGACCATATTCATGCCTCTGCCTCCTAAATGCTTTTATCTTTTCTTCTTCTCCCTCCCCGCACCTCTGGGATCAAAGCCCTTGTCTTCCCATGCTAGGCAATCATTCTGCAATGAAGCCCTATCTTCAGCACTTCCATATCTTTGTTTGTTGGTTGGTTAATTTTTTTGAGACAGGGTTTTTCTCTGTAGGCTTGGCTGTCCTGGAACTCACTCTGTAGACCAGGCTGGCCTCCAACTCAGAGATCACCTGCCTCTGCCTCTCAAGTGCTAGGATTAAAGGTGTGCACCATCACCACCTGGCACACTTCCATATCTTTTTAAAAAAATTCTTTTTGGCTGGTTGTGCTGGCACACATCTTTAATGCTAGCACTCAGGAGGCAGAGGCAGGTGAACCTCTGAGTTCGTGGCCAGACTTGTCTACAAAGCAAGTTTCAGGACAGCTAGGGCTGTTTCACAGAGAAACCCTGTCTCCAAAAAACAAACACAAATCGGGTTTATTTTTAATTATGCAATATGCATGTGATAGGTATGTGTCCATGCATGGAGGTGCTCTCAGAGCCCAGAAGAGGACGTCAGAGTCCCTGGAGCTGGAGACTGAACTGAGGTCCTCTTATAACAGCAGTATGCACTCTTTGCTTTTCCATGTGTTCCGAATCTTCTCCAGTATCACACTCACAGGCCTGTAGGTTTCTTCTTTGGTATGAAGTAGCTTTGAGCTTCCTCATAGCGATCCAGGCTTTCTCCAAACTGCACTGTGCACATAAGGACCTTTTGAAAAAGAGGATTGAGTGTCACCTCCCTGCTTAAAATACCTCAGTAGTTTCTCCATATTCTTCAAATGAGTTGTGAACTCAGCCCCACCTTTCACACTGGGTGTGCGGGATCTGTTCCCTGGCTTGCTTATCTCTGTCTTTCCTCCTCCCTTCCTCCTCTCTCCTCCCCTGGTCCTCCCCCCTCCCACATGCTGGGTCGACAGACCAGACTGAGGACTGAAATGACCAGGCTCTGTCTGCCTAGGTTCTCCAGGTTCAACCTTTGTCACACTCTCCCTTAGTTCAAAAGACTCATTCACATGGCCTCCTCAATGAGTTGTTCGGGATTAGTGATCCTCTTTTCTCTGCCAGGTCAGTTAGCCCCACGACTTTGATTTCACCCTCCTTCAGACATTTGTCACAATTAGGATGTCACATCCAAGTGATTCACTAGTCTGGAAGTCTAGGGGTTGTCTCTTTTGTTCATGAAATATTCCTGGGGCTCACCCTTTGCTTGTCTATAGTGTATAGTAAACAACTTAGTATATTTAATAAAACCTTATTTTAAACTTGAACCTGAAAGAAAGGCTAAACAACATCTCAAAGTCACAGAGCCTTTAAGTGGACTGCCACTGTTCCCCTGGACAGCTGACTCCAGTGTCCACCCCACATCTGTTAAGTAGTTCTCTGAGTCCCAGAGAAGGGTCTAGGACTCAGGTTCGATCCCCAGCATCCATTTATAACAACTGTCTATGACTCCCCCAGTTCAAGGGGATCCGGTGTCCTTTTTGGCTTCTGCAGCACCAGGCATGAAAGTGGTGCCAGCAAATACCCATTCAAAACCAAACCAAAACAAAAACTCCAACTTTTGAAAAAGGGAAAAGGCAGCGTTAGGAAAGCCAGGAAACTGTTCTCTGTAGCGAGGGATCCCAGAGCTGAGCTTGAGAAAGATCAGATTTCACCGGGGAGGGCTCTGCATGGCTGGTAAGCATGTGAAAAGAAGCTCTCTGCTATTAGTCATCAGAAAATGCAAATCAAAACCATAGTGACACCAGCAATGAACAATTTAAAAAAGAAATGAAGAAAAAAAATTCCATTTTCAACCACAAAGAAATGCCCAGTAATAAATTTAACTCTGGTAGAAAGATTGTTCAATGGAAATTAGAAACCATAGTGAAAGAAAGAAAATTTAAATAAATAGAAAGTCATTCTGTGTTCTTGAGTTGCAGGACTTAATCCTTTTCTTTTCTTTTTTTTTTTTTTTTAAGACAGGGTTTCTCAGTTTAGCCTTGGCTGTCCTGGAACTCACTCTGTAGACCAGGTTGGCCTGGAACTCAGAGATCTACCTGCCTCTGCCACCCAAGTGCTGGAATTAAAGGTATGTACCTCCATCACCTGGCAAGTTATTTTTTTTTAAGTGAAAAATGAACAAAGAACAGGAACACTCAGTGCCAATGGCCAACAGTCATATGTGTATCATTCATGACACTGGTGACCCAATGTCCCACGGGTGGGAGACAGACAGATACGCCATGTAGAGAGAGCTTGGGTATAGAGTTTATCTAGTGGTTATTGGGAACGGTATAAGAGTAAGGGGTTATCGGGGGAGAAGGGGAGAGAGAAGAGGGGGACAGAAGAGAAGAAAGAAAGAAAGGAAAGGGAGAGAGGCAGAAGCGCCCTCTTCAGAAGAGTGATGGACAGAGAGAGAGATGGAGTGTAGGCAGGAGATCCCCTGCCTTGCCTAGACAGGAAAGGAGAGATTGGGAGTAGGCAAGGCTTGTCTCTTAAAGGGACAGGGTACCCAGGTGACAGGGCAGGCAAGCAGATTACAACAATAGGAACATGTGTTTGAAACGGGATTGGTCAGTCATTATGGAGGTACAAATGAAAACTATGGTGCATTCTGCTTCCCACCCACCAAGGAGCTAGAACAAAAAAGTCAGACTGCCTGGAGAGACCCTGTCTCAAACAAACAAGAACAAACAAAAGCCCAACAACAACGAAAGAAGAAGTTAGATCGGAAGAAGGGCTGACAGGGAGGTGGAAAGCTTGGAGTCCTTCGCCCTGCTAGTGTGGGTGTCAAATGAGCCAGCCGACAAGAGCTCTTCGAAGGCTTGTCACGGTGTCCCAGTGCTGTGGTGCTGCCTGGAATCCAAGCGTTCAGGAGGTGGAGACAGGAGTCTCCTCACCAGCCAGGGCCTCGCCTGATACTCTGTTTCCAAAAACAAAAACACCAACAAAGAACAAAACCAAATCCAGAAAAACAAATAAACAAAACCCAGGATAAACTATGTAACGGGGTGATTCTGTTCTGAAATGTCAACTTGGCCGAGGTGGTGTGAATGGGAAAGGCTCCCATAGGCTCCTGTGTTCTAATGGTTGGTCCCCAGTTGGTGGATTTGTTTAGGAAGGATAGGACTATGGCCCTGCTAGACGAGGTTATGTTACTGGAGGTATGTTATGGCTTTGGGGTTCCAAAAGACCCATGTCATTCCTAATGTGCTCTGTTTCCTGTTTGTGGGTCAAGATGTGAGCTCTCAGCAGCTGCTTGGGCACACGGGTGTGTTTGCAGCCATACTCCCTACCGTGACTGATGGACGCCTCTCCCTCTGGAAGTGGAAGCCCGGAGTAAACCCTTACTTCTACAGGTTGTCTTGGTTTTGTTGCAGCACTAGAAAAGTGATTAAGACACCGAGAAGCCAAACTGTCTTCCTGTATTGCTTTCTACCCAGTATATTGAGACAGGGCTCTCCCAGACGGGAGCTCAATGCTTTGGCTTGCCTGCCTGCCTAGCCACGTGCTCTGGACATTCCCTGTCTCCTCCATGCCCTAACTTGCTGGGTTCAGGTGCACCGCCATACTCTGCTAGCTTTTATATGGATTACGGGATTGGAACTCGATTCTTCAGCCTTACACAGCATGAGCTTTACTGCTGAGCCGTTTTCCCTTTCTCCAGTTCACTTCGTAGACTTTCTGCTGTTGTTTTTAGAGAGTTTCATTATGTAGCCGTGGATGGCCTGGAATTGCTGTGTAGATATAGGAAGCCTTGAACTCCTAAGAGCTCTCTACCTGCTTCCCAATTTGCCTTTTTTTTGTTTTTGTTCTGTTGATTTTTGAGGCAGGGTTTCTCTTTGTAGCCTTAGAAGACTAAGCTCTGTACACCAGGCTGGCCTCAAACTCACAGATCCACCTGCCACTCCACCTGCTTCTGCCTCCCGAGTGCTGGGATTAAAGGTGTGCGCCACCATGCCTGTGCCCTTTTCCTTTTCTTCTTCTTCTTCTTTTTTTTTTTTTTTTTGGTTTTTCGAGATAGTGTTTCTCCGTAGCTTTGGAGCCCGTCCTGGAGCTAGCTCTTGTAGACCAGGCTGGTCTCGAACTCACAGAGATCCGCCTGCCTCTGCCTCTCGAGTGCTGGGATTAAAGGTGTGCGCCACCCCCGCCCAGCTGTCCTTTTGCTTTTTTAAAATTACAGAAAGATGTATGGTTGTCATGTGTTTAAGATGGAACCTGGGTCTTCTGGAGGAGTAGCCAGTGTTCAGAGTCACCTGTCCAGCTCCCCACTTTGTTTTTTCAAACAACATCTCTCACTACCCTAGAGCTTATCAAGTAGTCTAGACTGGCTGCTCATAGGTCCCAGGGGTTTGCTCTCCTTCCCAGCGTTAGTTTACAAGGTATATCACCATGCCCAGCTCTCTGTGTGGGTTCTGGGGTTCGAACTCAGATCCTCTTACTTGCAAGGTAAGCACTTTATTAACTGAGCCATCTCTCCAGTTCCTCAAAAGTTACCCAAAGAGTGGTAATGGCAACATTACTAACCATGAGTAAAATGTAGTAATGACCCAGATCCCTCAGGGGAAGCAACAACTGTGATGTTCATGCAATGGTGCACTGCTTTGCGGTTCTTACTTGCAACACTTTCAACACCAAGTCTGTGGGCGTGTGGAGTCTCCTCCCATACCAACCTATTCTCTGTCTCCCCAGACACGAACTGGGTATCCAACAGTTCAATTTTGACAGCTGATTTTAATGCAGACACCATAGTTTAAAGGTTCAGTCCTGATAGATGTGGTGTCACATGGGCCCGCAGTCTCTGAAGATTAGGGTAGGAAGATCCCAGGGCAATGAGTTCAGGCTACCCCAGGGTATAGTATAGGATTGTACTAAACGGGGCAGTGGTGGTGCACAACTTTAATCCCAGCACTTGGGAGGCAGAGGCAGGTAGAATCCTGTGAATTGGAGGCCACCTGGTCTACAGAGTGAATTCCAGAACAGCCAGGGCTACACAGAAAAACCCTGTCTCTGAAAACAAAAGGCCATGCTGAAAGAAAGAAAGAGAGAGAGAAAGAGAAAGAAGGAAGGAAAAAGAGAGGGAGGAAAGAAAAACGATAAAAATAGTTATAGTGAGATCCTGACAGAAGCAGACAAATCTCTAGGTTCAAGGTCAACTTGGTCTATATAGCAAGTTCCAGGTCATCTGGGGCTACATACTGAGACTATCTCTGTAGTGTGGAGCACGGGGCCCTTCTGTTCTGTCCTGCCCGGCTATCTTACACCCAAAATAACCACACAGAAATTGTATTAATTAAATTACTGCCTGACCCATTAGCTCTAGCCTCTTATTGGCTAACTCTCACATCTTGATTAACCCATTTCTATTAAATCTGTTTATCACCACGAGGTCATGGCTTACCAGGAAAGATTCAGCATGTCTGACCTGGCGGCTTCATGTCGGCTCTCTGTCTGACTCTTCTTCCCAGCATTCAGTTCTGTCTCCCTCCCTCCCTAAGTTGCTGCCCTATCAAAAGGCCAAGGCAGTTTCTTTATTCAATCAATGAAAGCAACACACAAACAGAAGGATCTTCTATACCAGTCTCAAAAAATGAAATTATAGTGTGAATTTTATAGGCACCTATTTTAGAAATGGTTTAATACAGGGTCTCATTGTATGTACATTATACCTTAATATAGTTAATAAACAAATGAGAAATGATGAGTATAAAATATCAGTATCCTGAAATTTGAGTAACTTCCTGGCTTTCGGATCAAGTCATGACTGACTCAGCTCTCTCTCTGCTCCTGTCATCCTTGCAGCTGACCGCTGCTCACATGTAGGTCCGGAACTCCAAATGAGAAGGAGGTCATTCTGTGTCCTCCATTTTTCTTAACACTCCCAACTCCTCCCCTTTAATGCCTCATTAACTAACTGTTTCGTTGCTGGGCCTTCTGCTCTTCATTGCCTGCTCACCACTGAGCCTCAGCATGCTGCACAGGGCTCAGCGTATAGGAAATGCCTGTGAACGCTTGCTCAGGGAAAGGGTGGCAGTGAGGTGTGCGTGTAGACAAGGCTGGAGGGGTCTGGGTTTCAGAGGCCCTCTGCTCAGGTCCCCAGGCTAGAATTAATCTGTTGCCTCTCTTCCAAGTCAGATTTGCAAGGGATGGGGAATGAATGAAAGGCGGCTGGGCTACAGAGCTGAAGTGGGGCAAGGGATGGTTCACAGGGCTGAGCACAGGCATGCAGCTCCAGTGCTGCGGTCAACCCCAGGGCCACACATGCAAGGTAGTACTCAGCTACCGAGCTCCGTCTCTTCCACAGCTGCCATCCTATCTTCTCAGAGCCTGCTCTGCAGCCTAAGTGGTCTTGCTATTCCCATCACTCCCCACTTCAAAGTCCAGACTGGGAACTTGTTCAGTTTGGACAGCCATATAACAGGCTTTTGTCCTGGCATCGAGTCCTGGTTTCTCTCCTTTTTGAGCTCTCCTTTGCCCCGCACCTCACAAGATCCTTGCTCCTGGCTTGGAGCCTATCTCTGAAGCTGCCGCTCTTTCCCTAGCCTCACCAGGAATGGGACCTCCAGCTTTCCTTCTGAGTGGTTTGGAGAGCCAAGCAGAAAGGACCACATAGAGCCATATAGGGTGTCTCAGCAAAGTGGCAGAAGGTGCTGGAAGCCTGGGGCAAGAGAAGCAACTGAGTCACACACTCAAGGCAACCCTGACTCAGGAAAGTGACTTCAGAAACACTCTCTGGATGTCGGCCTCCTTTCCCCTCCCAGCCTTCCTTGGTTGTGGCCATTCTCTTGCCCCCTCTCATAATCTGTTCTTTCATCCATAGCATTGGAGAGAGCAGGATTTAAGAAAACAAGGTCACCTATTTGCTGAGATCACGGACTTTGGAGTTGTTGGACACTCGTGCTTAGAGTTCGGCAGGTCATCTATGATGTTGCTCTCTGGTCTTCAGCCGCCTTTTCTGGGTTGTGAAGGGAACAGGATAAGATCCAAGGCTCTCAAGTGCTCAAGTTAGGATTGAACCCAGGTCCTCTTGAAGAGATTCCAGTGCTCTTCCTGAGCTCTCTCTCCCTCCCCCAAACAATCTTTTTTGAAAAGTGAAGGTATTAGGCTACTGTAGTGAAGACCAAGGAGAGAAGTCTGTCTTCAGGTTGGACTCCATGTTTTCAGGTAGCTGTGCTTCTCCATGGCCTGCTGCTTGTCTAGCTAGCATCAAAGGTCCCCAAATAGTCCTTGTTACGTGTAGCTCTGACAGTCCTGGAACTCACTTTGTACATCAGGCTGGCCTCGAACTCTCAGAGATCTGCCTGCCTCTGCCTTCTGAGTGCTGGGATTAAAGACGCGTGCCACCACCGCCCAACTAAAGCTAGAATCCAACTATGGGGATTTTCTCTATAGCTCACATCTCAGTGTTAACTGTCCTATCAATGATATAATATGAAAAGCAGGGGCAAGGGTCAGGCAAGAGGGCTCAGGAGAAGGAGGGAGAGGGAAGTGAAGAGAATCACCACCTACAGGTTGTCCTATTTTCTATATAAGCTGTGACATACACCTCTAAAAAATGTTAATAAAAATGTGATAAATTTAAAAGAAAGAATAAGCTCGCTGGGGGCAAGGTTGGCACAATGCAGGTGCCTGTCAGGCTTGTGTCACCAGCTACTTGTGATGCTGAGTAAAAATGGCAACAGTCACTTGAGGCAGGGGTGGAGGCGCCCGCCTTTGATCTCAGCGGGTCAGCCTGACCTGCATAGTGAGGAGTTCCAGGACAGCTAGGGCTATGTAGCAATCCTGTCTAAAAAAACAAAACCAAAATCAAAATCAGCAGGGCTGGAAAGATGGCTCAGTTAAGAGCACTGAATTCTCTTCCAGAGGACTTTTACTAGAGTTCAATTACTAGAAACCACAGTGGCTCATAACCATCCTTAATGAGATCTGGTGCCCTCTTCTGGTGTGCAGGCATAAATGTATACATAAAAAATATAAATTTAAAAACCCAAAACAAGCCGGG